AATAAACTCTATATTATAAATTAACAAGGGGCCCCAGGGTAAGGAAAGCAGTGTCAAACACAGTTCAGTACTTCAAAATATGGGCAGTAAATAAATAAATATGTCTGTGCACACCATGGAATCCAAGGCATGTGGGAAGGTAACGAGGCACAGTACACACACAGGGAGGTTCCCAAAGGCAGAAGGTATACACTGAGTGCTGTAGGACCTCATTTCAAACATTCTTAGAAAGATCAGTGATGGCAGAAAATAGGTCATTGGTTGCCAGATAAAATGATCGGAGGTGGCACAGAGGAGCCTGGATAAGTGCTAAACAGCTCCATATGTCAATGGTTGTGCATGTGTTATACATGGTACACAGGTCAGAACTTAAAGAACCACGACATAAAAAAGCAGATATTTAAGTATGAGGATAATGACACATTGAATTATTTTAGAGGAAAAACAAGGTGAACAGGGAGATATTAAGCAAAAGAAAGGCTACCTCACAAGTTAAGGCAGGCGTGAACCTGCCTGTGGATTTCAAGAATTAGTTATCTGGCATGGATGCAGTGACAGTTGGGGGAGCACACCAGTCTTGGTGGGTCTCTGGCAGTGTATGCCTGCAATCTCAGATCTCCCCGAAATAGAGGTAAAAGTATCTCAATTTGAGCCTGACCTGGACAGTGTGATTTAATGTACACAAAGGAGCTACAAAGGCAGGGTTCCAAAGCAGAAACTCCATGAGAAATGAAGGCTGAATGTACCAAAGAGTAGATTGGAGGGGAGATTCAGAGCCTCCAGAGAGGTCAAGAGAGCCCCCACAGATGGTCACTTCATTCAGGGTCTCACTCATAAGCCCTTTTTCCTCAGGACACCAACCACCCCCCCTACTTTTGGTGCCCTGATCTCATTAGAAACACCTCACCTCCTGGACACCGGAGGTGTGTCCAGAGAAGTGATGCCTTCAGGCACTAATGTTTCAGGCAGCCTCAGGGCAGGCCAGCCCTCATTCGAATCCTCATAAAACCAGGGAAGGATCTGGACAGGCAGCAGCCCACAGAGGCCAGCAAGAAGTAGGACAACTGTGCCTCGCAGCCCAGGGAGCTAGAGCCAGGTAAAGGACTTGTATTCTCCCACACTGAGCCTCTCTCTGTGCTCCCTGCCATTTGAGTTGCAACCTCTTGTCTCTGTCTCTGTGTGTGTGTCTCCCTTTTGGGCTTAGACCATTACTTTGACTCATTGGACAGCCAGGGGGACTATGTCAAGCTCTATTGTTCCAGAGTTAGGGGACTATGTCAAGCTCTGTGAGGTTTTAAGATCATAGACTTTAGTGTCCTCCACTTGTTACTCAACTCGTCTGGGTCTCTTCTCCTCTGTGGAATGAGGATACTTACATGATCTCTACCCTAGGCAGACTGTGAAAGTGAATCGCCATGTGTACCACACTCAGTGCAATGTCTGGACACAGAGCTGAGCCCTGAAACTCTCTGCTGAAAATACCTGCATTTCCATCTTAGCACCCTTCAGCTTCATGACGCTAAGACTTCTGTGTCTGGTGCCCATCCTCCCTGCTTCAAGGTTCAACCTCGGTCTCAGAGTCTCTGTATCACTTCCTCACTGCCACTTCATCCTCAGTCTCCCTGACTTTCTTGTCCTCTCAGTAGAGTGCACACTGTCTTTTCCCAGGACCTGGACAGAAAATGGGCCTTTTGATTGTCCCTTCTGGTACAAGCATGGAGATGGAGTGTAGGAGACACTTCCTGGACCTCGTCTTGGTCCAAGAAACCAATATTTATAATCCCAAAGTTACGTTATTGGAATCACATCAAGTTGATTCTAATCTACCACTTACAATGCTACCCACGGTGAAAGTAAAGACACTAAATTATATTTTCAATCATCGGGGAGTCAAGGAACTCTAAGTCCAGCCATGAAGATGGCTTTCTGGAACCAAGAGAGCGACCCAGGGCCTCACCCTGTTTTTATTCAATGGGGGAGTGGCTTGAAGAGGCTTGACTGAGAATTGTGGGAAGTAGGTGATCATTGTGAGCTGAGCTAGGTGGGTGGCCTACATTTACCTAAGGCCAGTTGATAAACAGAAGTCCTATCCAGCTCTGTACATAGGGAATAGGGTCAGGCTCAGTCAAAATGGAGACAGTCACTCTTCTTTCAAAAAGGGCTGCTCAGGCGATCCTCCACAGCTGGTACATGGTGTAACACACCCTGCATTACACATAGCAGTGCCCAGCATGAAGGGTCAGCACCCTAAAGTCAGCAGTTAGTAGTGGCTTGGTTCTGGCCATTTCATGGTACTGGGGATGTCCTGGGTCCATACCCAGCCACACACGGATAAATGTCAGTAATGCAGAGGGTGAGAAACTCTGCCCTATGTTATGGTCCGTGGCCCGGATGTCAGAGTTTAGGCTGGAGTTGTATTTTCTAGTTGTCCCTGGAAGGGTGGAGGAGGCCCCATAATCACCTTGTACCCTCCCCAACAGGTACTGACATGGAAGCCACAGCACGAACCCTCTGGATCTATCTGCTGGGACACATCATTCACACAGCTGCAGGTATCTGGGGGTGTGGGCTAGCCTCTGGGCACATACATTGTGGAATCCTGACCCACCCATTGACCATCTCGCGATCTGCATGGCACCTGGGTCGCAAAGCAAGTTATGGAGAGGCAGTGACTGGGTGCCAAGCTCAGCGCTGAACCTCTTAGCTGGGCAAATCACTAATGTCTCTGTGCCACAGTTTCTGCCCCTCAATCTGAAAGCAGTTTAGGTAATGCAGTGTAAACACACATCCTCCCAACTCCAGCATGAACCAGTGCCCGAATGTTAGCTGCAATTAGCATCGGGAGAGCACTATGCCAAGGTTTTCTGCCAGTCTGGCAGAGGACTGTGGCAACTGCTTCCTGCCCTGCAGAGGACATTGCCCTTCGCACCTGGAGAAAGGGTCTGGGAAGATGACTGAGGTCTGGCAGGGTAAGAATTGTTTCCCCAGTGACTGTGTCCTGTGCCCTGCTGTCCACTTTGCATGTCCAGCAGACAGAATCTGAGGCATGGTGACCTTCATCCTCTACTCAGCATAGTGGTCTCCCGTGAGGAAGGGCCCACTGTAGGGATCCGTTGGTCTCACTGAGAACAGTTCTACCTGGGAGACATGGCGACAGGAATGAGAAAGATGGACAAGAAGACAAAAGTTGGGCTAGGTGGTTGGTAGTCTGCTTGATGGGCAAGACTCATGCACCAGCACAATGAAACCTACATTTATTTATACTTTTTGAAAAGTTAGTAACATGTGACACAAGGTTACCTAGTGACTAGTAGCTGACATTAATCAGTCAGGATGCTTATCTCAGGAATGAGGTTGCTTTTTTGCTCTAGGCACTGAAGCCTAGTCCCACCTACACACCTTTGATTGATTTTCCAGCTTCTGTGGCTCCCTACAGCCCATGTGTGGTTGCTCTGGGTAAAGCCATTGGGGTGATGGAACACAGCTGGGAAGCTTGAGGCTCAGAGTGGTCCAGCCTTACAACTGTTTGAGCCCCAGAGGTAGAGCCTGATACCAGGCCCATGCTTGATAATCCTGAGCCACAGGACCCCTGTGGGATCCACTTCCAGAGTCCACTGGATCCAACCCACCCAACAGATATACTGTGTGCTGATCCTCTTCAGGAGCTGTGATTCCCCCCAATGGAAGCAGTGATGAGGTTCCAGAAGAGCTCCCTCCGATCAGAGAATTCATCACTGGTGGCATTGTTTGCTCTCGATACTGGCAGCCCTGGAAGGCAGCAGTGTTCTTCCAAGACTCTCTGGCATGCTCTGGAGCTCTGGTGCATCCCCAGTGGGTGCTGACAGCTGCACACTGCTGGAAGCCGTGAGCAAGCATGGGGCAGGGTGACAGCAGGGTGGGAAGGACAAAGGGCTGGAGTTGGATTTTCTCATGGGTAGGGCAATGTGGATGTGGCTTGTAGGGATGTGGCTTGTGGCTGCAAGGCTCAGGCTAGGTTTTAGGCTGATAGGGCTAAGTCTTGGCTCAGGGTTGGGTTCCAACACGGCAGAGGGGCTGTACCAGGAAGTGAGCCCCCCAGAAGTGAAACTTGGCCAAGGATGAGATTTGAAGCCCTGTGCCTGCAGCAAGGGTAGATTTACAGTCATAGGGGAGGCATGGATGTGAAAGCTACTTTCCCAGGCTAGAGGAACACTGACCTCTCTTGGCTGGGTCTGAAGGGCAAGCAGAGACTCTAGCTTGTAGGAAGAGAACAGACACAGGTCCCGAGCACTGACTGAAGTATGAAAGTGTAGAGGAGGACATGGCTTAAGAGAAGTGAGTTTGGATCTCATTTCAGCCCCAAGGAGCCAGGGTTGTGGATATAGTCCTCCTTCACCAGGATGCATGATGCATGGGGCAAGGGGAGGGAAAGAGGTGAGGACAGAGCCAGGTGGATTGTAACCGAACTATGCTCATGGATGCAGGTAAGGGTACAGGTTGAGATAAGGAAAAATTCACTCATTGGGATCAATATCTCAATGTACTACTTTAAATAAATTAATACTAATAATATAAGCATCTGTGAGGATCAAAATATACACATTGGAAATAATACTGGATCCCAGCATGTGTGGATAGGGTGAGGTGCAGTGTCAAATCTGTTTTCCCTTTAGTTTCTGACATTTTGTTCATGGTGGATCTCGTTATTTTAGTTTTGAATTTTAAAGATATTATGTTGAAGAACTATTTATCTTGCTCCGTCTGCATTAGTGGCTCCCTACATTTGCATGACCAGAACTTCTCTTGTCTCAACCCTAATAGTTGAGATGTGAGGTGAACGTGTGAGTGTGGATTGGGATGGGATTTCAATGTTGTCCAAGAAGGGATGAGGCTCGCACCAGGGGATGGGTCTTGGCATGGTGGAGACTGGGAGTGGGGATTGGTATGGGACTGATGTTGAAGATGAGTGATGGTTTGGGCTAGGTTTGGAATGGGACATGCACGCGAGTTTGGGCTTCTAAATGGGGCTCAGCTGCTATGGTTCTGACTATCACATCGTCCTCAGATCCTACACCATTGCGCTGGGCCTGCATAGACTTTCCCGACCCTATGAGTCTGGTGTACAGATGATTGAGGCCAATTTCGCTGTGCAACATCCACATTACAAAACATCTTGGAATGAGAGTGATGTCATGCTTATAAAGTTGAGCAGACCAGCTGTGGAGTCAGACACTGTGCAGACCATCCCCATTGCCTCCAAATGTCCAAAAGCTGGAACAGTGTGCTTGGTCTCAGGCTGGGGTCAGCTACTGGATGGTGAGTTTTGGTGCTCTTGTTTCTGGTCTCACTGATAATCATGGCTGTCTGTGCCCAGGAGCGTATGTGACCTTGTGTAATTTCTTGTAGGCCAATACCCTGATGAACCACAGTGTGTGCTTCTTCGAGTGAAATCTAAGAAGATCTGCAGAGCTGTGTTTCAGGAATTCTATGACCGTACTGTATTCTGTGCTGGTGGTGATGGCATCCAGGACACTTGTAATGTAAGAGACTGGGATGGGGAGGAAGGAGTTTAGAACAGAGAAGAGGAGGCAAATCTCATTAAGGCCATGAAGCAAAGAGGGACTCTTTAAAGCCTCAGGAGCATAAGGTGGTTCCATAGGAAAATGTGGTGCAAAGAAAAACAGAGAGAAGAAACTGGGAGAGTGGAAGGGAACTGGAGATGCAGTATAAAGAGGCCATGGAGAAAGGCAAGAAGCGCCAGAGAGAAGGAAGGAGCTGGCAGAGCCAGGCAGAGCCATGATGCAGAGAGCAGAAGATGGAGGGTGAACCCTGTGAGTGACAGCAGGGGGATCCTGGGAGAAGGAGTACAGCAGTGAGAATTGACAGGTGACTCTATTCAGGATCCTAGCCCTATGTCCAAGCACTGCTCCATGTTTAACTGCAGTGGCTCATCAGCCCCAAGTCTTTGTCCATGCTGCACCTGCCAATAGACCTCAGCCAGGACAGGAAAAGGAGGGCAGGCAGGGGGCAAGCTCCACAGGGGATCTTTCCAAGGCTTGGGAGAAAGAGCTGGTGTTTGAGAGGCAGGACTGGCCATGCCTGCTTACAGTGCTATGGTTTGATTGCTTGGGTTCTAAATACATAGCCCTCCAGTTGGACCTCTGGGTCTCTGTGCCTTCACTGCCTTGGGGAATCACCAGGGTCTCCGTTTGTCTCCCCATCACTTCTGTATCTTCAACCTATGTGTCTCTGGGGCCTGCTGGGTCTGTCTCCCCTGCTTCTGCTTCAGACTCACACTGCTGCCATCTTGCTCCAACACTGTGTTTCCTTCCTGCTGCCTCACTCTGCTCTGAGTCTTTATGCTTCTGGCTCTCTGTGTGTCACCTGCCCTCTTCCTCTCCACTGGCCCTAACTTGTTCTCCTTTTTCCTCAACAGGGAGACTCTGGAGCACCCTTGGTCTGCCATGGGCTTTTGCAGGGCATTGTGTCCTGGGGTCTCACTCCCTGTGGGCAAACTGGACTTCCAAGTGTCTACAGCAACCTATGCAAATTCAAAGGGTGGATAGAAAAAACTATCCAGCTCAGCTAAGCATGTATTATCTTGGGACAAACAGTCCAACAGGATCTTCCAAATATATCCTTAGGCTCCATGTATCATGAACAGCTATTGGATTATTTGAAATCTTATTTACCAATATATTGGAATGTTACATGCCTTTCATGCTTAGTTTTACCAAAACTGAAAATGAATTTTTCAGGTATGTAAAGGTATTACTGATTTTAATAGGTTGGACCATCCTTGTGCTCCTGGGACATCTCCTATGAGGTGGGAACCTTATACAAATAAACCTGCCACTAATTACTTTGGACAACAACTTCCCAGAGATAGACTCAGTGGCTGAAGTAGTGGAGTTCAGAATGGCTGCAGTAATGCTTCTGGGACCAGGGCAGATGGAACATATGATTCTCACCTCCCATATTCTCCTGAGCAAATGAGAATTTAGGGTTTAACAACTCTCAGCTCATTTCAGTGATTAAGGTAGTTGAAGATAGCACAGAACTGCACATGACCTGCACCCATGATCTGTGTCCGACCAGACAAAGTGAAAATGATAGATGGGGCACATTGTGCTAGAAGGTGCAGAACTGATGGAAAAGGAGAACTGAAAGGTATAAAGAACAACAACTGTCCTCTGCAAAGTGTTTTAGGCAAGTAGAAACAGCAGGAACAGGCAGTATGCAAAATGAAGAATTCTGGGGTAGGGAATATATAAATATTTATACATTTTCAAAAATACAGTGAACTAAGAACAGAACAGATACAGCTAAATCACAAACCAGCAGGCTGAAAGCATATGTAAGATGGTTGAGAACAGAGATGGGAAAAGAAGGCAGGATAAGAGGAGACCTTTGGAAAAAGTTTTAATAATTACGCAACACACAAACATACACAAACACACAGAAGTTCACAAACACACAGAGGTTCTCATTCTACAAAACAATGTACATATTTCTATTGCAACACATACAAATAAGAAATTAGTGAGTTGGAAAAAAAAAAGAAATTAGTGAGTTGGAAATGTGGTACAGAAAGAGCCAAAGTTGAAAGCCTTAAAAATTTTCAAAATTAAAAAGTATAGGATCTTCTAGCTCAAAATAATACACATTGGGATGGCGCACATTCATAGATGTCCATGAATCCACGCACACACATGTACACAAATGTGCCTACACTTCTGTGATGCCAGCCAGCGTCGGGAAGTGGAGCTGTGGACTTCAGGGCTGACTTGTGTTGAGTAAGAAAAGATTGCATATTTGGAGATTCTTTTTTTATGTTTTTTTCCAAAATTTTATTGATAAACAGATAGCAATGAGACAGTTTCAAATCAAATCGGAAGTACAGTTTCAACAAATAACACACTGCATATATTCTTCTTAGTGGTTAATTGCTGTACAAGATGCAGACTTGTGATCCTATTTACAAACACCATTAGAACAAATCATTCTATTCATTAAGAGAATGCAACTATATATCTATCCCAACCACTTTGAATACACAGATACAAAATGGACATTCATCGGTATACCCCATTTTTTCTAAGTTACGTTATTGAATATTATAGGTGTGTAAACTCAGCAAAATATTCTAAAAGAGTCCAGTAGCCCATAATAACATTGGGTCTTCTGTTTAACTGGCAATGTCAAAAATTATTGACCTGAGTCCCCCACAGCTCAACATAACAACATGGCTTTACTTCCTATATTTTGTCTTCATACCTTTCTACTGGATGGTTTAGACCAAGGTAAAACAAGACCTATGCAACAAGAGTTGTAGCTTTTGGGTCTAAGAAGGTCAGTGAAATGCCCTCAGGATTTATCCTGAGATCCTGTACCTCAGATTGTAGAACCTTTGTCAGTGCAGCCATGTGGATGAGTCACGGCCATTGCTTGGCCAATGAGCTCTCTGTGAAAGCCTGAAAGAGTGTCTTCTCCCCATGTGACTCTGCTTAGGCACACTCTACGTCATCGATCACTTTCCTCTTTGGCCCCATAATCTTCTTGATCAGAAAATTTGAGACACTACCGTGGTACATGACGTTACAGTACAAGTTCTCATATGTCCTGAGTCTTAATTGGCCTTAGAAGGCTAGGGCCAAAATGTTGGCTTTCCTTGTAGCCCTCCTTTTTCTCTAATTTTGGTCTGTAAACTTAGGTTGTTAACCATCCAGAAGATAAGCTTATTGTTATTATCAAATGATTTAGGCTATCAAGCTTAACCTCACTATCTCACTGCATTTCAAACATCTTAGGCATAATAAGGAACAGGTAATTTTCATCAAGTATTGATATGTTGAACTTTAAGTCCCTACATAATATGATAATAAACATTTAAAAATTAGATTATATTTTAAAAATAGGATAAAGAATTTTATACTTCTCATGTTTGCACATAAGTCCAAAAATCTCATCATATACAACCTTGAAGCAGGACAGTCCCACAATATTCCTTTTCCTGTCTCTTGCTTTCATTCACCACCCCCTTCTTCTTGAACATCCACCTACCCGAGAGACATCTTAGCAGTAACTGGCATGTCATGACAAGCCGCCCATATTTAGAATACCAGAATGACAGGCACTCCAATCATGAAACTACTATTACAGCATACAATGCCTGTACCTTTCCTTCTCCTCTCTTTGCTCCCCATGATTCCACTGAGCAGAATGAGCCATATGAGAGGATGCTTATTCCTGGGCTTGTGGAGACAGAGATAGGGAGACAATAAGTTCAGGAGCAAATTGGAGAGTGAGCCATGTGGAACATTCTAGCCATGTTGGATAAGTGAGTGTAAGTAGGAGTGAGAAAAACCCAGATACTGGCAAAAGAAGACAGAGAGAGAGACAGACTGAGGCATGGATAGACATGGAGAGAGGCCCAACACAGAGGATACAAGTGGTCAGTAAAGAGGAAGGGAGAGGAGACACAACCGTGGCAGGGTGAGTCATGAGTGAGGAAGAGCTGAAGGAGGGAGACTTAGACCTCAGGCCAGGATGCCATATACAGGGTAAGGTGAGTTATGGGCCTAACCTCCTGTGGTTCTTGCACATCCTCAGAAAATATGTCCAGCTAGGCTTTCTCAACATGAACACAGGGGCTGGTGAGATGGCTCAGTGGTCTAATGCACCTACTTGGAACAAGCTAAGCCAAGCAAAGCACAGGGACCGCGGTTCAATCCCCCAGCACCA